TTGTCTTGTATTAGCACACCAGCATTTTAGTGTGGAATGCAGCTTAATTTGTCCAAATTGGTGCTGACCGTGGAATATATATTACGACATTTGCTTAAGATAGTTGCTGTATTTTTTAAAAATAATGACTCATTATGGCAAGGCTGTTGATTATCAAATCCTTCTTTTGTTCCCAAGATACATACCAACAGAAAGGTCACACTTGAAAGGGCTGTTATGCATACTTAAACAACAATAACAAGAAATTCTAAGATCTAAATTGGGCAGTGATTAAATAGACATCAGATCTACATAAATCTATACAATGTACATAATACAGAAAGTCATGCTGGGTGACCTGAGTGGCCACTCGGGTGAAAGAACTCAAGTCTCCCATAAAATTTAACTCTATATTATCACCAAAAAGAAAAACATACCAAAGCATTCAGAACCAGTTATATTAGATTCTCTGTCCACAGCTATCACAACTATGCCAGGGTATCTGGTTACGTCATCGTCATCTTGATCTGAGTGTTGTGTAAGAGAACTCAACAGTGTTATAGTCCTTAAGGAAGCCATTAAAAATAAAATTTAAAACCCTGTTCAGTTAAACACACTGGCAATTGCAGTAGCTGGTTTTGAATATTCGGTCCTAAGGGTCCAGTTCTCAAATCTGGCAGTTTGTAAACAATTCTTGCTACTTTTTTATTGCAACATGCAGTAAATAAGTGAATGGCTGGAAAGCAAAAATGATGTTTGAAGCTAGCAGGTGCTGACTACAATTTTGCTAATAAGTTGTTGGGTTTATTGCTACATCTGCTGAATAGTATAGATACCCTTCATGAATACAGTGGGGGACATAGACCAAATGAAGACAAAAATCTAGGTTGGCACAAAAATAAAAACTGGAGTCTAAGCCAAAATATCTCAGCAATATGGAAAGGCACTTGGTACTGGCTGTATTAAGAATTAAAATCACAGGCTTGCAAGCAAATCTAACAGCATATGTGTGGCTGCTCATGCTCTCTACTTACCTAGGCTCTATTTACATCTAGTAGGTAAACAGCCCTACAAAACCTGTAAGGATGTGATTAAGCACATCTCATTGAAACTACTGCAGCTTCTTATACGTGTGAGCTCAATCGCACGGGCTGGAAGTATGATACAAGGGTCGCTCAGTAACACTCCCCTCCACTCCCGAGGTCTAAGCAGGCAGAGACGGAGCTCCATGGCAGCACCGCCTGAACGTGGACTGCAACAGCACTAATGGGGTTGGAGCCTGCCGCGGTGAGCAAGAGGAAGAGGCGGCAAGAGTAAAGCTGACTCGAAAATGACAGCTTCACTGGACTGGGACTAAAATCTTCTGCATAAAAGAAAAAGCCAAGTACAGAAAGCAAAGTATGTCTTGGCAAACAAACATTTGTATCTGATGTGGGGAGATCCAACATGTAGCATCCTGCACAAGCAGCTAAGGGCAGGCGCAACAGGGAACATACTGCAACCCAAGTGGGAAGGTGAGCTGGGAACCAGTCCATGAATCTGAGAGTCACGATTGTGACAGCAACATGCGACTGCTACCTGGCAGCAGCCAGAGTGAGCCCAGCACTCCCACTGACAGCAGCTGCAAAGAGGCAGTAGAGCCAACCAGGGCAGATCCTGCCTTACAGCTCTCTGTAATACAGCCAGAAAGGGATTAGCCTTTACTCTTGCTGTAATGCTTACAGTTATTACATCTAAAATTTAGTGCTGAACATGCAAATATTATAACACAGTTGCAGTTTGCAATCTACCTTTCCACAGATTTAGAAGCATCTAAGGTGCTGATAATCCTTTCTGTCAGTATCTTAACACAATTGTGACTAACTGCAACACAGGATTTTATCTTATTCTCTGATCTGGTTCTAAAACATATTTTTAGCATTTTGAAAATAATAACAGCTAAACTTTTATTTTTAAAGTCAGTATTAACATCTATATATGGAAATTTAGTTCAAATAACTGCTGTATTTTCGAGAAGGCAGGGGGTACTGTCCAGAGTCATTTTACTCTTAATCCATACATACACAGTTCCTGCTCAATTAAATTAATTCACCACCTCTCAAAAAAAAAAAATTAAATGTGAAAATACAATCTTCAAATACAGACATAATCTTTTACAGCTGACAACGTCTGAGTAATTACAAAAATCACAGTGTTTATTTACAGACTACAATTCAAATACCTTCATTATATTTCTCTGTCAGGTGCATTTCAGCTGCCTTGCCTTTTTTCTGTTTGTGTTTTTTTTTGTTTGTTCAGTTTTTTTAAAATATATTTCTAAGCCTATTTAAAATTAAAGGAAAATTAAATCCTTAGTACATCATGTTTTCAGATCCAATCCATTAGAGGAGGACTTTGACATGAGTAAAGAATGCATTCCTCCGAAGTATGTTTAATAAATAATAATTTAAAAAAAAATCTAAAATGCATGCACACATAGCACCCACATCATCCCAGATTTTATTTGCATGATGTTCAGTTTTAATGCATAAGCTGCCAGCAACTTAAAAGACGGATTTATATATACACAGCTTAATCACTATTGTAATCTCACATAAGATTACAACAGCCATTAAAATGTTCTTTTGCAAACAGTATTATTGGTACTAGCTAAGGTTCCAGTTTGTCTTGTACCCAACAGCAACAAAAGGTGTATAAAGACATCCAAGAAGTTATGAAAAGCGTGGCTCTGACAATTAATGACAATTGCAGAAATTTAATGATTGGAACCGAGACTGGCGAATGCAGTGAGGCTGCTTAGCATTTCTCAAACAACCTGCAGTGCAATAATGTTATTTAAAAAAAAAAAAAATCACATTCACCTTCTTCCTTTGACTGCTTGTTTGCTTTTCCTGAGGAGGTAGAAACGACACCAGAGCCAGGTCTATAGCAACTATTAGCAATTTCTGCTGCAGTTGTATGACAACACAGCTCACCTCTATTTCCCCACAGACAATTCTCATCTTCCAGGTTAAGAATTATGAGAACTCAGAAAAGGGGTAGAATCCCTTAGGGATTATATAAATCTTTGTTATGTGCCTAGAGCACAGATGCTAAGGCACTGTATGCATGAGTGCATGAGTGAACTAAACTATGCCAAAACACACAATTTATTAGAGGTAGACTCACACTTTTTCAGTCTAAAATCCCATTGCTAGCCCTCGCTATTCAAACTGATAGTCCTTCCCTGGTTGGACTAATCCTATTACAATTAGTCCTTCACAACAAAAAGATAAAACAAGGGGCAAGGGGACTAGCTGGATAGGACAAGATCTACTCCAGCATTCCCATCTCCTTCTTGAAAAATTCAAATACGCCTCCCCAACAGACATAGCTGGGATGGGAAAGCTTAACATCAGTTACGAGAGAAAGTCAGAAAGACTTTTTTAAGCGATACCGAGTTTCTTTTTTCCCTCCTTTAGAAGAGAGTAGGTGTGCCTTCCCACAGCACAGGTGGCAGGAAATGGCAGCGAAAGGAAACATGCTAAAATAGCTGTCACAGTCCCCTGTCCCCATGGGAAGAAGGACTTTGCAAGATTAACTATCCATATTAAAGTCTCTGGATCTGTAGATAAGGGTCCCAGTTACTGGGCAGTATCGTTAAGTTCAATTTCACATCACCAGATCTTAGTGGAGTTTTCAAAGTAAAAACTGTGTTATACATCACAGCACTGTAAGAAACAAAACACAAACAATGTGCTTTAGTAAATGTTTACAGATCTATGAAGAAAAAATACATTGCTTAAAAACTAAGTTCAATATCTATTCATATTTTGCTGTTGTTTTAAGTAAATGGATAAATTAGAAACACCTGTTGGTAACTATGCATCAGTGAAGGAGAAATACTCACCCAAGGTTCAGCATGATGCTACTCATGCAACACATTAAGTTTTACTGTGCAAACACTAGGGAAAAAAAAAATCACTTGGTTTGACAACTGCAGAGAAAAATAATTTTCTGAGACATAACTGTCCTTCAGATGAAAGTTAATTTTATCCTATTTAATTATACACTGTTACCAATTTCAATCCTGCCCTAGAACATTGAGTTTACCATGCTGTCTTACACATATGTGATGGACATGTGTCATTTATTAGGCTTTTTCATTATTTTTGGGATGGTGTTAATTTCTGTACAGACATATTTTTCCACCTACTATAACAATGACTGTGTGTGGCACTGCTTTGTGCCCCATTACACCATACCCTCAGGTTTAAATTGTAGTACTTGCAGTTATGGAAGAAGTGACCCTACAAAATTTCTTCTATATTTCCAAGACCTGCAAAAGAATTTTTCTGCCAGCTCCAGACAAGCTGCTGCAAGGAAAAAAAGTTGCTGTGGTCAACACTGCAGCTACGTTTTAAATGGATCTGATGATCCTAAAATCTTAGGATATGAAAAGCATGTGCCTACTATGTGGTAGGACTGCAGGACTTGAATAGCAGCTCTGAAGGGACTACAATACAATCAAACATTTGGGACAGAACAGATTCCATTATTACTGAAGTCACTGTACTTGGTCCCCACTCTGTACACACAGTGTCTTTTTATATACACTGAATTCAGTCAAAAAGACCACAGACTAGGCACAGAGACATAACAAGCAGGGTCTGCATTTCTGTTCCCCGGGTACTGCCTGGCAAACCTGCATTCTTGAAGTACCAAAATAAAACCTGAGCATATTCCTGAGAAATGCCAAATACCCACCAACATCAACTAGAGAGGACTAATAATAGTTTGGTATCTTGCAAGATAAAAGTCAGTTAGCAAGACTGCTAAATGTCAGCTTTTAAGCTCTTTAGTATTTACATTTTACAATGTTAAATGAAAAAAGAAAAATCAACAGCACACATACCAAAGTTTACACTTAAAATCTCCATATTGTCCTTCGTAAGTGTGGTGAGGATGAAGTAATACCTATTTTCTTTTAAAAATAACAAAAGTAAAAATCAAGTATAATGAAAGCACATCAAGAAACAAACTGTACAATTTCTGAACTGCACTGTTTATTTTGCTGCTTGAAACCTAAGTGACAGTATGCCACTATAATTATGGGGTTTCTTCTAAACCTTTACTACACTGCAGGTACAGAAATATACGGACACATTTTTGGAGAACTGACATTTTGCAAAATGCAGCAAACATTTCAATTTATACATGAGAAAAGGAAGTGTTCAAAAGGGTATGCATTTCAAGTTATTGCAGGTTATTTCTGTGAGAGAATTTCTGCAGGTAAAACATATTTAAATTTAACCAACAGTAACGTGTCATTGTATTTAAAATAATGACAAAAATCTTCTCTCTGGTCATTAATTGCCCTTTGACAAATTACTAGGATGTTGTACGTTTCGGGCAAGATGTCAATACAGCATAAATCCCGTGGCATTTTGGTTTTCTTCTGGAGATTAAAGCTGTTTTTTTTTTCTTGGGATAAATGCAGCAGCAAAACACAAACCAGCTGATCAAAAAAGCACTTCTGCCATAATTCCAATAATTTCAGGGCACACCAACCGACAGTAGTTTTGCCATTCCCAGTTCTTTTAATGTTTACATCACTGCACTGTTGCCTTAAGTACGTTTGTAAAAGCTTGTTTTCTGTTAGGCCAGCTTGCTGACTACAGCCTGGTTGAGAGAATTTAGTTGGTTGGTCCATTTATCTAATGCAGTATACCGTGCACCACCTCTCTTCTGATGATCCAGTTCTAGGAGCTGGTTGACTTGATCAATTCGGCCATGTATAGTGCTAGAAGTAAATACATAAATAACTATAAATCACTAATGCACATGGAAATAGGAGCTAACAATAAATCAGAGGTAAAATAAGAGGTCTTCTTATACAAGAGAGACACAAAGTCCATTTCAGAATTCAGCACTTTTATAATCTATTGTCCTGGGTAGTACTGCCTATTTAGTTGTCATCATGATTGGAAATCAAATGAAATAGTTCATTGGGCAATGCATGTATTACCTGCCTAACTATGACCCACATACAGAGTCTGAAGCAATATGAGGTAAACAGTTCTTGAAAGGCAAGGAATCATGAAATATGGAGATTTATGTAAAAAGAAATTAAAATACAAACCCATGCATGGATTATATTTTCCTAGCAGATATAACAAGTTACTCTCAAAAAAAAAGATTTTACAAACTGTAGTTAAGTTTTTCCAGTCAAGGAGAGCAGGGTACTAACTTGTCAACTTGAAAATGTACTCAAAAATATACATAGGTATAAGCAGCAATTACTAAGAATAATAATTTTCATAATTTCATAATAATTCAAGCAATTTATTACATAATTCATAAGTAAAGTAAAAACATGCCACTCAGTCTCTCTCTATAATTTTCCTGGCTCATGTCTTACAAATATACGTTAATGCTCATAGGCCAAACAAAGTCAGCATCGTTACCTTTTGGTTCTAGAATCAACTAGTATTGTCACAACGCACAAAACTATTGTTTTGTTGCTTCTTCTGTATTTTTATTATTTTAAAGTAATCAAAGATCCATAATCAAGAACAAAGTACGTACTTATCCAATATGCACTGCACAAGCAAGCTTTCCACATCAGCTACATCTATGTTTAACTCCTAAAAGAAAAAGAAAACTTATTATGGTGCTACTTTGTTGTGCAACATTAAATCCTTCCAATCTTTATTTTCATATACAGAATGTGGTTTCATTTCTGTTTCTTACTGTTCAAAACTATCAATTCAATGATGATCTGTCAAGCAAGATAACTCCACCTAAAGTATATATGGCCAATGATCATGAGATCAGTAACTTCTCAGAAAAGGCTAAGAGGCTAAAGCTAAATTTTTGGAAGGCCAGAAATTAGTTCCTTTACTTACTTACTGAAAAAATAGAAAAAAACCCCAACACCGCCCCCTCCCTCCCCTCCCCCCATCCCCGGAAATAAAATGAGACACTATTTATCAGAAAAGAACAGGTCTGTACTCAAAACCATTTAGACGGCTAACAGCAACTTCTGGTACAAGCAAGTTCTAAAAATTTTACGGCTAGCTTAAAAAAAGAGCATACTGAGTTCTAAAGAGAATATAAGCAAACAAATGGACATCTCTAATACTTCATGATGTATTTTGGAATGCTGTGAATTTTTGCAAGAAAAATCACAGACTCACAGGAGATGGAAATAGTAATCTGTTGTCACTGGTTTTTGATGTTGATCTTTCCAGATTAGGGAATAAAATCAGTGATTCTGGTACTCTAGCCTGTTTGTTCTATTACCACAGTTCTGTAACTCTTACAGTACAGACACTTTAAGGTATCTTTTGAACAAGAGGAATTAAAATTTGGATTTTTATGTTCATAAAATTTACATTCATAATTAGATTTTGAATTATACAGATTTAACTTTTTATGTTTTTCTACACCCAGAAGAATATGGTAATTGAATATTTTGTAAGTATATCGTAGTACATATTATAAAAAGCATTGGGACGACACTTGAAATTTGCATTCTCGCACTGAAAAGCTGCCAGCAGTACATCAGTACTACTTCATGGTTTAGATTATATTTTAAATGTTCTATTTCTGGAAGCACTGTACTTATTTAGGAGCTTTTATTCACAATTAATCATTTATTTAAGCAAATGCAAGGCTCCACTGACACATACCTTAGAAATAAAAGGAATATGTATTCTCGTGTAAGGCTTAATTAATTTTATAAGCACTTGTGTTCTGATGTTTCGCAAAAGCTCTGTAAGAGAGAAAAAATAAATACTGTAAAACCAACAGTACTGAAATAAAGATGCAATACAGCTCCATAAAGAAAGACATCCTAAATACCATGATCTTTTAAGGTAGTAATTCAGTGAGGTGGGGAAGCACAGCAAAATAAAGGGACTCTCCTTTTGCAGGGATCCAAGCAATACACAATTCTGAAGTGGACAGATAGAGTTGAGAACTGTTTAAACATGGAGCAATGCATTCCCTGGTGAAAAATTAAATTACTCAAAGTATCGGATAAATCACACAGATTATTGCATGCTATGTTTGCCCCTCTAATCTATGGCTAGAATGCCTGCCTTGTACAAAGGTGAAAAGAGGTATTCTTAAGGCTCTGAAACTTCAGTGTGCAGGCATGTAACTTCATGGGGAATATTCACATTGTAAAAGTCAAAGGATCGGGGCCTAATGGTGTAATTATGAGGAGGAACTGAAGAAGTATAAAACAGAGTCTGCATGAAGTGGCAGATTTTGCTTAGATAAGATAGCACAGCCATTGTTATAGAAATTTATACATTATTAAAGAAAATTAGGATAAAATGAAAGCATGAATTACAACGGCAAATGAACAGAAAGAGATCCATTTTTACCTGCTAGTTACACAAGGACTGTTTACGTAATGCAAAATAATACTAGAGACCTGATTATGTATCTCAATACAACTAAGGCTATTAAAACAATGAGGCAAGATATGCAAACATCATAACCATGAACAGACATTCTGTAACAATACAGAGTGAAAAACAATGTCGTCTTTTCCCCCGGATATCACTAGCAGAGTATTATCACATAAGGGGTGACACTCAAATTCTCTTCAATCCTTTGATTCAACTGTCCTCCTTCTATTGCTTTCCAGTTCTGTCATACTTTCTTCCTTAAAGATCCATCTCTCTAATCTTACCGTCTCCCTACAAGACTTTGAAGCTTACCAGCAGTCGACATGTAACAGCAGTAGAGGGGTTATATTTAGTTTCCCCTGCTGTTTGCCATGTTCTCTTTTACAAACAAGAAGTGTAAGAAAACCAGGTCTCTGGATTTAACCCTCTTCTTTCATTTAACTATCCAGCTAAATGGTCTTGCATTGCCACAGTAAGCCCTACTCTCGATGAAAACAGTAGTTACGTGAAAAACTGGATGCTATATTCAAGTGAAGAGATTTCTAAATTCTCAGCTACCAGACAAATGCAGGGGGTAACTTTACTTTGTCATGCTAATGGAAGGGATGGGCAGGTGTTAGTGTGTTCCCTGGTTTTATTAAGTACAGGTACTATAAATCCAAACATTGTTTTCACCCTATACATTAGAATTCTGTATCTTGTTACATATTTTATTACTACACATTTATTAACGCAACCTTCATTACGTTGTCTATATATTTTGCCTTTAATCTGAAGCAGAAAATTAACCTTATGAACTAGCAAACATCTAACTGTTGAGACTGACACAAACGACCTTTAGAAGTAAGGGTTGCCCTCATTTAATCCTTCCAGTGGAAAAAATATTCAGTGCCTTAACACTACTGTAGAGATTATCTTAGAATATCCACTCTTGCTAGAACTTTCTTCATCATTCCTTCAATTCTTTGCAGTCATTCTACATGCCTGGGTACATGTTAGCCTTGACCAGCTTCTAAAGAACTTGGAAACAGTAAAGGAATCATTCAGAGATAATTACAAAGAACTCTCATTCTGCCAAGAAGAAAAATAAACCATAGGGAAGAAAAAAAAAAAGCAGCGTACCAAGTGGGGAAAAAAAAAAGGATTAAGATAGCCTACAAAAATACCTTCAATGTGCTCCCTTATGAAGGGATCGTCCATGATGTTGCTGTGATTTGTTTTCAGAATCTTCTCAAATTCAGTGATGTCATTATTCTGATAGGCACTGCAGAAAATACAAGAGACTGAATTATTATTTTTAAAAGTTAAACAGACTCCTAAGACTTTCTTTTATTGTTTATTCTAGAAGTCTCTTTTTACTGTATGTAAAACATTCAAGTTCCCAATATAGAGTATAGAAAGAATTAAAAACATAATTGTAATATTTGGAGTTGATTTTATCTTCTCCATATTTCTTATCTACACTGCTTTAATTGCATTATTAATTTTAAAGAAGCAGTTATACTCAAATGTCAAGATAAAAGATATAAATTAGGAATATGAATAAAATCAGATTGGGTAAGGCCATCTGGAGTTCCTTCTGCCTCAAATTCACATGAAACTATGACAATGAAGTAGAAAAGACATGTCTAAAGTGGAATTATTGGAAATAGCCCCTTAATAAACTGCCTAATCATTTATTCATCAATATGTCAATAACAAATGAACATCCTCACTTTCAGAAACAATTTGTATGTGTACAGTGGTGCAGCACCATCGCAGTATCTGAGCAAGGTTTGTTCCAACATGAGATCAACTGTATTTCAAAATATGAGCATCCATTGCTTCTTCCATAATGAAAAGGTGGGAAAAGTTTTCCTACGCACTGTTCCTTTTTTTTCACTTGATAAAGCAAAGGCAGCATAGAGGGGATGGAACAGGGTAGCTACGTAGCACAGTACACAAAAACTGCCTCCATTCAATTTATTTTGCGTGATAATCTTAATACCCTAAAAGTTCTCACATCACAGCTGCCTCTAAGAGGTAATGAAGCGTTCTTTCGATTTTCACGTGTTTGAAGAATAGGGGAGATCACTTGAGAGTTCACTTTCATATTCTTAAAATATGAAACTGCTTTAGTAATCATGACATATCCATGCATCCAATTATTCTACTGCCTTTGGCATGAGATGCCAGGCATCTCAGTCTCTCATATAATGTCAGCCAAACCCTAAAGACCAGTTGCAGTACAAGGTGGGACAACTTTCTTTAAGGGAAGAAATTAGGTTTTTGCCATTGTAGAAGAAATTCACCACAGCAGAAGATAACAGCATGCTTCTGTACCCCTACCTGGTATAATATAGATACCTTGGTATGTCATAGTAAATAGAAGTTGCTTAAGAAAAACTGTCTACAAATATTTGCCCATATTTATGAATAGCTGTGTTAGTTGTGCACCGAAAAGCCACCTCTAAAAATATTCCATTTCTGGTTTGGACATTACATCATTTTATTATTTGTTCTCTTCTCCAGAAAAAATAAAATCTTACCTTACTAAATTCGTCATTGCTAGAATCTCTGGATCATTTTTGTACGGTTTAGCCTACACAGAACAGAAAGCATAATGTGCATGTTTAGATTTTAAGTACATTTTTTTCACA